AAGATTTGAATTGATCTACTCAAAAATATATAGTAGAGATGGTGATTCATTTTGTATTAATTAAAATAAACCTAATTCGAGCCTTATAATAAACAAAAGAATTAATTTTCAAACGAACAAACCTGTATGCCGACACATGCTCGCAAAAACTGTTCTACATCGAATCCAAAAAAAACATAATATGGCAATAGAAAAACCATCAATCTCAATTTATGATGAAAAGAAATCATCGAAAGGTTATAATGAGAAAAATATTTTATTTTGTGAAAAAATAGGACTTTTCCAATTATTTATGTAAAACGTCCAAAGTCAATAATAGCATTTCATGAATTTTGTTTATATAAAAGTTCGACATATAGTTTTGTATATAGGCAGATAAAAAAGGATTTTATGTACCACGTACGTAAAAACCTACGAATCAAACGTCGAACGCTCTATTTTATATGTCAACAAAATTCAAAAAAAGATACCACGTTCTTTATAATTATTATTGGAAAGTCAAAAATGAAGAATAGAATTTTCAATATTCTCTAAAGGGAAAACTATGATCATCTGTAGCACGATTTTGGATACTTGTATCCGCAAGATACTCAGTTGTAGCATCCATATGGTCACTTCTACCACTGATACGGTCATTTCTACCTTGATATGGTCCTTTGTACCACGACTATGTTTACTTGTACCACGACTGTGGTACTTTCTACCAAGAAAATGGTCATTTATACCAAAAAGGTAGCAACTCGTACCATGAATATAGTCATTTGAACCACGATCGTGGTACTTCGTGCCATCGATGTGGTTATTTGTACCACCTATATCGTCATTCGTACCACGACTATGGTTACTTGTATCACCACTGTGGTCGCTTCTACCACAACTGTGGTCTCTTGTACCACGACTGTGGTATTTTCTACCAAGAAAATGATCATCTGTACCAAAAGAGGGGTCATTTGTACCTCAGAAATGGTGACTTCTACCATGAAAATGATCAGTGATACCAGAGAAATAGTCATTTGTACCACTGACATGGTGATCTTGAACCACAGAAATGGTGACTTGTACCATAGGAATGGTCATTTGTACCACGGAAATGATCATTAATGCCACAGAAATGGTCATTGGTACCAGAGCAACAGTCATTTGCACCATGAAAATGGTCATTGATACCACGTGTTACAGACAGACAGACACAGGTGAATTTCAGTTTCTAGACCCTAGCCTTTCAGTCTAGGGAATATAGATTATAGCATCGAAGATTTAAATTAAACCAAATTGTAATCTAATGTATCTTTTATTACTTAATTTTTTTTCTCGTGATGTTTGATTTAAACAAAATAATAGAGGTCTCTAAAAATACACAGCATATCAGTTTGGCATTTGATCTGATAGAATCGTCAACCGTCACGAAATTTTCTTCAAAACTTAACATACTTCTTTTTATAGGTAGATGTTCTGTAGATTTTTCAATTCAATAGTAAAAGCCTAAGCTCAACAGAAGAACAAATTTATCAATTATTCAAAACACAAGTATGTATAGGTTTGATTTCATTTTGTTTTCAAGACTTTTAGTTTTATCTTAATATACATACGTTTTGCAGTAATGTTGCGTACTTGAAATTGCATTCATTAAGTCATTTATTATTATTTTTATTAATATTTGAATTATATTACCCTTTTTTCTAACAATGATGATTATTCAAATTTAAGAAAACGATATTGATGAAAAAGTTGATATCAATTCAATCTTTTATTTTTTTCTCACATAATATATTGTCACATATTAAAAGCTGAAAAGTGATTGAAAAATACTTGATGTGATAGTTGAATACTTACAAGAAAAAAATAATGATTGTAAACCCATATTGAAGTCGTTCGATGTACATAATCACAGAATGTTATGAATTAGCTTTGGTATCAATTTTAGAGACACGTAAAATGAAATAGTGAAAATGATGTATTCAATTATGATTAGAAAAAATTGTTCGTTTGAAACGATATAACAAAAAGCTAATTCCATTGTGATTTTCTACTGGAAAGCCAGAACTTTGGCTTAAGCAATTTTCCGCCCGGGTGGTCGAAAGTCCTATAACCTTGTCTGCTTTATGATCGGATCATACAAAGTAGGCGCATATTACAATGGTTTGTATCAGTAAAAATTTTCAAAAACCAGAAAATACAATACTTCTGTCTTAATGATAAGTTTATTGAAAAAAAACTATGAAAAATTGTATGGTTAAATAAATTTTTAGTACAGAGGAAATATAAAAAAGAATAATATTTAAATCTACTACACTAAAAATAAATAGCTTGAATAACAAAATGATTTACTTAGGTCATCCAAAAAGTTTTGAGAACTTCAAAAATTTATTCCTGAAGAAGGCATCCCATTGATCTCTCTCCATGTCTAATAGTCAATGATGATATTACATTGAAGCACTGCATCACTTTCAAATCTCTACTAATTTTTCAGGACTTTACAAACAAGTATGATTATAGTAATAACTAAGGAGCTCAATTCAATGCATGTTGTTGAACATGAAAAGATATCTCAATAATAGATGGAAAGGATAAAACATAGTATCGAACATTTTGCTGTAGAGAGATTAATGAAATAGTTTCTTCATGAATAAATTTTTGAAGTTTTTTCAAAATTTTTCCCATGATCTAAGTAGATTCTATTTAGAATAAAGTTTTTCGATGTCAAAAATTGATAATCATAATAAAAATGGTTCAAGAAGATGATGATTGAATAGCAAGGTAAGGACTATTTGGAATCTTTCCATTTTTCACATCTTGATATTTTGCCATAATTGCAATAACTTCTTGATCAATCATTTCAGGAAAGAAAATATAACATTGTCCAATAGAATCAAAATTATAAGGTACTGATAAACATATAACTTTATCAACTATTCCTCTAATATCTTTAATACAATCAGCTGCACCACATGGAACAGCAACAATTATTGATTCAGCACTGAAACGTTGACAAGTCATAACAGCCGATTTCATAGTTGCACCTAAGAAAAAAATACCAAGAGAATTTTAATCAAATTGATATGTGAAATTGATAGATCCTATCTAGTTTTATATCTCAGTATACGGTATCTTACATCTTGAATAATTGTAAAACACATGTATTGATTTTTGTCTCGAGTTTTAAATTGATTAGCTTGTATTTTTTGGGCTGATCATAGACAAAACATTTTTCTATGCTAATTATAACACATTTAAATATCACTCACTATTAACGTTAACATCCATCATACAATTATTTTGATTTGGTCAAAGAAAAATTTCAACAAGAGTGTCCTAACTTTTGCTGAATACCTTTTTCGATTGCTAAAAAATTGCCTCTATCAACTTAAATGACGTGATTGTTTTCGTACGCATTGACCTTGGATCGATATTTAGAATTAGAAGAATAAAATTGTAAAAAATCTCAACAAAAATTCAAACTGAATATTTTCCATAAAGAAAACAAATATAATTTCTTACAAAACAGAAAACAAACTAATAATTAAATCTAATGAATTTATATATATGTATACCTGTTGCTAATCCATCATCAACTAATATAACAGTTTTTCCACTTAAACTTTCCAATGGTTTACGTTGACCACGATACTTTTGTTTTCGTCGTTTTGATTCATGAATTTGTTGAACTTTACTGTGTAGAATTTGTGGTTTATTAATTACATTTAATCGTCTAGCATTATTATTCCAAGTGACATCACCGAATTCTGATACAGCACCAATAGTAATTTCTGGTCGTTCAGGCAGTGGCATTCTTTTTGAAAAAACTAAATCATGTGTTAGATTTAATTGTCGAGCTATTACATCACCAACAACAGTACCGCCACGTGGTATACTTATAACTATATATGAATTTTTCTCTTTTGCTGGTAAAGATTTAATTTTTCGTAAATCTGGATGAGCAGCTAATTGCCAACCAGCATCAAATCGATCATGAAATACAAGATATCCTCCATCTATACTTATCATTTTTCTTGAATAAGGTAAACTAGAAATATTTTGTTGGATTGAAATACGAAATACGAAATACAAACTAATTGTTTTTGACAATGCATTTTCCTACTGGATAAGAAAAAACTGATAGAACGAGTAGAAAATTGATCTATAATATTTAGCGACAACTGTAGTGTTTTGTACAGATAATCGAAGTGACTGTGAGTATCGTTTAAGGGAGTCTACCGAAATAACAGAAATAGTGTGAAATGAATTCAGACCACAGGAGAATGGTAATGATGAACAAATAGGATTGGCTGTTTGTAAATTATGGAGGATCCATGTTTTACTAAAACTAAAGCCCATTAGTCCGCTATTACGATTCTCCTGTGGCCTAGTGGCGGCGCCACGAGGGGGCTAGGGGGAGCTAAGTCCTTCCAGAATCTTTTTGAGCCTCCTTCCCCTCCCCGCCAGAATTTTTTATAGTTCTTATTTATAAAGCAGCTGAGCCCCCCCCCCCCCCCCCCAAAAAATTTGGGTAGAGGGCTCAGCCCCCCCCCCCCCCCTCCAGTTTGAAAATTCTGACGCCGCTACTGCTGTGGCCTCGATTCATGTTACACTGCTTTCCTTAATTCGTTTGAATCCTTTAAACGGTACCCATACTTAAGAGTAAGTTTCTGAGAAAATCAGTCACTATAGGACATCGACGATGGTGTGACA